TATACTCAGCTGGTGATAAACCATCATGGAAAAGAATATAAAAAAAGAATGCAGTATATGTGTGTAACTGAGTCACTTTGCTATATAGCAGAGATTGGTACAACATTGTAAATCAACTAAACTTCAACCAAAAAATAAATTTTCTTGAACTTTGTGGGAATTCTTTAAAGCCTCAAACACAGGGAAAGTCCTCTAAGGAGTATTTGTGTAGGTTTGCTCCATGCCTGAGGACACCAGCATCTCCTTTAAACTACAGTCCCTAGCCCATCATTCTAAGGACCACGAAAATAATATAAATTCAGCCAAATATGAAAGATATTGTTAGAGGAGACAGTTCTTTTCTTTAACCTCCCTCCAGTACCACACCCAATATTGCTGTCTGCTTCTGAGAGGGGAGTTTTCCTTTTTTAGTTCACCCTTTACCTAAGGACATAGCTCTTTCTATTCAATATGTCCTGGATCTATGTAAAGTGGCATCTAATAAGTCTATGACCTGCACTGACCCAGTACTTTGTCTCCAATATGCCGTATGTTCCAAAGCTCTAGACCACCCACATCCAGGGGTTTCAATATATGCAAAGGATTCAAGGTTCATTTGTTGTCTTAGTCTGCTCAGGCTGCCATAACAAAACATCACAGGCTGAGTAGTTTAAACAATTTATTGTCTCACCGTTCTAGAGCCTAATAGTCCAAAGTCAGTCTTCTAGCAGATTTGACTTCTGGTGAGGACCCTCTTTCTGGATTGCAGACAGCTGCCTTCTCACTGCTTCTTCAGGTTGAGGAAGGGGGTAGAGGAAGTCAGATGTCTCCAGTGTCTTCTTAAAAAGACACTAATCCGGTCAGATGAGAGTACCACAAGTCTGACCTCTTTTAACTTTAATTATTTCCTCAAAGGCCACAACTCCAAATATAGCCACATGGGGGGCTGAGGCTTCAAATTCAATATGAAATTTGGGAGGACATAAATACTCAGTCCACGACATTTGCCTCCAGGTTCTCCTATTCCTCTTTATTCCTAACCTTGGAGAATTTTCATTAGTTTCTTAAAGGGAGTATTTGATTATTTCAAAAGGTTTTTTTTAAATTGTTGTTGAGTATTTTTAGATGTCACGCAGCAGACATGGGTTTCAGAATCTCTGGCTTTCCATATTGCCAGAAAAAGTCCTCTCTTCTCTGTGTATAATCTTGCAATAGGCAGTGCTATCCAATTTCATATACATGCTTCAAATAACACATCAAATTTATATTTCTAGCCCTAACTTCTCTCCTAAGCTTGAGATTCATTGCCAGCTGCTACTTGTAATCTTTACTTGGAAGTTTATAAGATATTTAAAACTTAATGTATCCCAATCAGAACTTAGAGTTTTCCTCTCAAATCTGCTCTTCCCCAATTTCCCTGTCTCAGTATGTATGAAACACCGAATTACTCAAGCCAAAAAACCCAGACATCAACCTTGATTCCTCATTTTTCCTTCCTTCCCACATAAGTTGAAGTACAAGTCCTTTCTTCCCTATTTTAAACATAGAGCCTCAGTCTGTCCCTTTTTTTAGTTCACCCTTTACCTAAGGACATAGCTCTTTCTATTCAATATGTCCTGGATCTATGTAAAGTGGCATCTAATAAGTCTATGACCTGCACTGACCCAGTACTTTGTCTCCAATATGCCGTATGTTCCAAAGCTCTAGACCACCCACATCCAGGGGTTTCAATATATGCAAAGGATTCAAGGTTCATTTGTTGTCTTAGTCTGCTCAGGCTGCCATAACAAAACATCACAGGCTGAGTAGTTTAAACAATTTATTGTCTCACCGTTCTAGAGCCTAATAGTCCAAAGTCAGTCTTCTAGCAGATTTGACTTCTGGTGAGGACCCTCTTTCTGGATTGCAGACAGCTGCCTTCTCACTGCTTCTTCAGGTTGAGGAAGGGGGTAGAGGAAGTCAGATGTCTCCAGTGTCTTCTTAAAAAGACACTAATCCGGTCAGATGAGAGTACCACAAGTCTGACCTCTTTTAACTTTAATTATTTCCTCAAAGGCCACAACTCCAAATATAGCCACACTGGGGGCTGAGGCTTCAAATTCAATATGAAATTTGGGAGGACATAAATACTCAGTCCACGACATTTGCCTCCAGGTTCTCCTATTCCTCTTTATTCCTAACCTTGGAGAATTTTCATTAGTTTCTTAAAGGGAGTATTTGATTATTTCAAAAGGTTTTTTTTAAATTGTTGTTGAGTATTTTTAGATGTCACGCAGCAGACATGGGTTTCAGAATCTCTGGCTTTCCATATTGCCAGAAAAAGTCCTCTCTTCTCTGTGTATAATCTTGCAATAGGCAGTGCTATCCAATTTCATATACATGCTTCAAATAACACATCAAATTTATATTTCTAGCCCTAACTTCTCTCCTAAGCTTGAGATTCATTGCCAGCTGCTACTTGTAATCTTTACTTGGAAGTTTATAAGATATTTAAAACTTAATGTATCCCAATCAGAACTTAGAGTTTTCCTCTCAAATCTGCTCTTCCCCAATTTCCCTGTCTCAGTATGTATGAAACACCGAATTACTCAAGCCAAAAAACCCAGACATCAACCTTGATTCCTCATTTTTCCTTCCTTCCCACATAAGTTGAAGTACAAGTCCTTTCTTCCCTATTTTAAACATAGAGCCTCAGTCTGTCCCTTGTGATCCACACCCTCTTATCTACCACTTTTGTCCAAGTCACCATAATGTCTCATTTGAGTATTCCTATCTGGAGAAGGCAATGGCAGCCCACTCCAGTACTCTTGCCTGGGAAATTCCATGGATGGAGAAGCCTGGTAGGCTGTAGTTCATGGGTCACAAAGAGTCGGACACAACTGAGCGACTGCACTTTCACTTTTCACTTTCATGCACTGGAGAAGGAAATGGCAAACCACTCCAGTGTTCTTGCCTGGAGAAACCCAGGGACGGGGGAGCCTGATGGGCTGCCGTCTGTAGGGTCGCACAGAGTTGGACATGACTGACGTGACTTAGCAGCAGCATCACCTCCTAAGTAAGCACCCTGCTTCTACACTAACCCTCCTAAAACCAGACTCCACAAAGTAGTTACAGCGATCCTTTCAAAATGTAAATCACATCACATCTCAATAACTTAAAATTCTCCATTTGTTTCCCAATACAATTACAAGTCTAACCTTCTTACTGACACCTAAACGAGGCCTTAAATGTTGAAACAACTGCCCATCTCTCTGAGTTCACCAAGTATGTATGCCCCTGCACTCACCACACCTGAACACTCTGGTTCTCTATTTCTCAAATCATTAGTTCACTCCCACCTCAGGGCCTTTACACTTGCTGTTCCCTCTGCAGGAACATAATTCCCCATGATGGCTGTTTCACTGAGTTCTCAGCTCAACTGCCGTCTCTTCCCAAACCCTGCTAGATAGTTGTCATCTGTTCCTCCAAACATACTGTCTACTCTTCTCCATCATACCCTGTCACCCAGGAAGCTGACCTTCACAAGATGGATCAACCAGGCCTCTTTGCTCTCTCTTTCTATTGGGTTTTGCCAGTGGGAAGCAATGGCAGGAAACAGAAGGGCAGAGGAAAGAAAGATCTAGGTATTTCCCTGGCTCCCCCCCCACCATGCTGAGTTGTTGGTTGGTGGTGGCCATGTTCTTTTACCAAAGTTCTATAGCCATCACTTCCCATAAGTCTCCACTATTGGCTCCCTCCCTTTATCCCTTTAAGCTCAGAAGCAACAACCTATTTTGGGGTCTAAGGTGTTTCATTATCCCTTGGTTGTTTTCCTTCTCTAAAATCCCTTTTACCTTGAGTATGCCATCCATTTCCTTATGTATTAGTCTGTTAGGGTTGGCATTACAAAGTACCACAAACTGTGTGGCTTAAATAACAGAAATTTATTGTCTCACAATTCTAGAAGTTAGATATCCAAAACCAAGGTGTGGACAGGGCTGGCTCCTTCTGAGAACTGTGCAGGAGAATCTGTTCTATGCCTCTCCCTTAGCTAATGAAGGTTTGCTGGCAATTTTTGGCATTCTTGGCTTATAAAAGCATCATCCCAATCTCTGCCTTCATCTTCACATGATGTTCTGCCTGTGTGTCTCTGTCCAAATTTCTCCTTTGTCATATTGAATTAGAAATTATTCTAATGATGCAACTTAACTAATTGCACATGCAATGATGCTATTTCCAAAAAAGGTCACATTCTGAGGTACTTTTCATACTGTTCATGGGGTTCTCAACAAAAGTCCGTCTAGTCAAAGCTTTGGTTTTTCCAGTAGTAGTCATATTTGAATGTGAGAGTTGGACTATAAAGAANCATATATTTGCTTTCTCATTTCTTTTTCTTTCAGTAGAATACAAGCTGCATGATAGCAAGGTTTTGGGGTTTTTTTTTTTTTTGCTTTTGCTTTAACTATATAGTATCTGACACATACTAGGAGGTCAATAAGTAATTACTGAATAAATGAACAAATGGCAATATCTAAAATTTGCTTTAGAATCTTAAACTGATACAGATTCTAGTTATACTGCATATAAATTATAATATTCATTTGCTACTGTAACATCTCTGTTATCCATAAAGGAAGTTCGCATTCTGTATTTGAGGAAACATCCTCATGAAGAATGAGGACACTTGGGCTTTTTTGGTTCCAAATCTTCATTTACTTAATGATTCATATAAAGGAAATCTTGTAATCTCTCTGAATCTCCCCAAGTGGGAATAAAAAGTTTCCTATCCCTAAGCAGGTTGGTGGCAATGTTTTTTTAGCTTCAAAGTAATATAATTCAGCATCAGTTCTTAGCAGAGATCAGGATAACAATGGCCCTACAGGTAAACCATCTTACCGTAAGTATTGGAGTGCTTTTGAACCCTGCTCTTACCCTCCTGGGTGTAATGTTAAAGTTATGTATTTCACACTTTTATTCATCACAAAATCTACCAGAAAAGAGAGGAGAGTGTCTGAAATGTGACTCGCTAGCAGTACTCCGCAATGTGTGTATCTGTGTATCACACTGCAGCTGGTGTGATCGGCACCGGCCCATCTATACGCACATACACTCCTCTTACTATGGTGAGAAATCAAGGTTCATAGAATACAAATGTCATTTCTTGCTATGAAGGAGGTTTTATCCAAACCTGTGGTTTTAGAGTTTCTCCTTCTGCTCACTGACTGGAGGACTAAAATGGAGCTGGCGGTGGTTTAGACTCTAAGTCGTGTCCGACTCTTGTGATCCTATGGACTGTGGCCAGCCAGGCTTCTCGGTCCATGTGGAACCACAGAACACTATAATCCAGCCCCTCACTACAGAGATGAGGAAATCAAGGCTCAGGACGATGAAGTGAATTATTTAAAGTCATTAAATGTCTTTGTATTACCACAGAGGTGACCATCCCTAGAGACAGACAGTCCTGTCCTGATTGGCCTGTATAGAGCTTTCTTACGGTTCTCCAGCATATCCAGCTTTAAAGACTCTGGACTTGTAGCTAGCTTGGATTCTAGGATTTCAGTCAGAAGGTTGTCTCCTAGGAACCAGCTACTTCTTCCTTCTTACTGCCAGGGGAGAGCCATCTTAAGAGAGAGCCAAACAACCCCTTGAGAAAACCAGACGTTGCTCATCTCCTCAGGCCCAGTACAGCACCTGGGACCTCAGTCTACACCAGCCCAAGGAGAGTCCACTCAACTTCATGGCTCATCCTTGCCCCTTACCCTTCTCACAATCTCTTACCCTCATGCTACTACTCTGGGATTCTTTTCTCTGATCTTCCTTCCACTAAAGATATCCCATTCATTTGGCAAACATTTATCAAACACCTATTATGTGCCAGGCATCCTACTAGAACCTAGAGATAGCAAGATGGCATTTCTTCGCTTAGGAAGATAACACTCTGGCGAGAGAGAATATAAAGAAATAATTCTTTTAAAGTGTGTTAAGTGGGAAAAAAAATAAAGTGTGTTAAATGGAGTGTTATTGTAGAAAAAGATAGGACTGAGCTGTTTCCTGACTCAAGACAGTTTGCATTAGGATAGTGAACACTTAGTCCTTGGCATTTCTCTCATCTATTTCCTCTTTTGCATCCCTCCTGTTGCCCTGGTTCCAGGCTTTATTACCTCTTAACTAAACTAGTGCAATGCCTTTCTAACTTTCTTTCTGTCCCCTGTCTCACCTTAACCAGACTTTCACTTCTCTACCAAAATGATATAGGAAAAAAAAAATTAAATCAGTATGTCTGCAACATAGTAGAAACTGAATAAATACTTATTGAATAACATCACTCCTTTATACTATTCAGTAAATTCTGGATTCATATAGAGGTGCTTGTGAAAGGCTCCCATTGATTCATTCTTAATGAGGAGGGGAAAGAAAACCTATGTCCTTTGAAGGTATTACTCAGCACAATGAACAAATCTAAGATGAACAGTTCAATAACATTTTACATTTGTATAAACACATGGCTACCACTCAGATCAAATATAGAACACTTTCATTTCACCCTGGAAAGTTTTATCATGCCCCTTCTCAAATCCATCTTCCTTCCCAGAATTAACCACACTAGTCCATCTCCAATTATGACAGACTCAAGTTGCCTGTACCCGAATTTCATATGTTCAGTACAATCATAAAGCATGTATTGCTATTGATTTAAGAATCAATATTTTGTATCCAGTTACCTTTCCAGGGCATCTCAGATGAAAATTTATATTCCAAAACTCCAAGACACCCAGTGGCCACTTTCAGAGCCCCACATTCCATACTGATTGCTTCTGCCAATATCTATTTCCTACAGAGATCAATTAGAGAGAGTATAAAAAAATTCTCACTCAAGGAAAGGAGATATGGATAATATATATTAAAGAAAATGTCCTCATAATTAATATCTAAGAATTTATATTTGTGCAAACATATATTATGGATTGAGTAATTGGATAATGTCACCTTGATTCAAGGGAACACTTTTTCAATAATGGTTCATCAAAGTCAAAAACAAACTTACAAGGTAGATATATGGTCAAAAGGAAATCATCCAGAGAAATGGAAGAAAAATTAGCATTAACCGAGAGCTTATTGTGCTCTAGGCACAGTGCAAGCTAAGCACTGGGAATTTAAAAATGAATATGCCATGGTGAATAAATTGGTGTAGCCACTATGGAAAACAGTATCGAGGTTCCTCAAAAAACTGAGTTGCCATATGGTCCAGAAATCCCACATATTCAGACAAAACTGTGATTCAAAAAGATGTATACACCCCTATGTTCATAGCAGCACTATTCACAATAGCCAAGACTTGGAAACAGCCTAAATATCCATTGACAGATAAATGGATAAAGAAGATGTTTTACATATACATATATATATATATATATAATAGAATACTACTCAACCAAAAAAAAAAGAAAAAGAATGAAGTAATGCCAAGTAATGCAACATGGACGGATTTAGAAGTTTTCATACTAAGTGAAATAAGTCTTAAAAAGAAACCCACCATATGATATCACTTATATGTGGAATCAAAAATATGACACAAATGAACCTATTGACAAATAGAAATAGACTCACAGAGAGCAGATTTGTGACTGCAAGGGGGAGGGAAGGGCAGGTGAGAGAGAGACTGGGAGCTTGGGGTTAGTAAATGCAAACTATTACATTTAGAATGGATAACAACAAAGTCCTAGTATATAAACCCTAATGGAAAAGAATTTTTAAGATTGTACACATATGTATATCGGAATCACTTTGTTGTACAGTAGAAATCAACACAGTATTGAAAACCAACTATATTTCATTTAAAAAAATTTTCAGTGAATATACCACACTATAGCTCTAAATTGGCATTAAAATTGGCATTTTTCAGAAAATAATTTACTAATGTGTATCAGAAGTCTTATAAAAGGCTTATGTTTTATTCCTATAATTCTATTTCTACAAATTTATCCTAAAAATCTACTCAAACATAACAAAAATATAATGAGAAATACACAAACATGTAGGAATTATTAAATAAATTATAGTAAGCCCACTGATTTACTCTATCGAATATTACAGAATCTTTAAAAATACATTCTTAAGGAACACTTAAAGACAAAATAAATATTCAAAATATGAAAAAGTTTTTTTAAAGCAAACTATAAATCTATCACTGACTCAATGGACATGAGTTTGAGTAAACTCCAGCAGTTGGTGATGAACAGGCAGGCCTGGCATGCTGCAGTCCATGGGGTCACAAAGAGTCAGACACAACTGAGCGACTGAACTGAACTGATAAATCTATACAATATATGATGTAATGCAAAGTATTTATTGTGTTTGTATGTGCAAATATACTAATAGTCCATATGTACTAATACACACATGTACTAACACACTAATGTATGCATATATGAGTAAATGTACTAATAGCATGTAGATACTAACACACACATACCCCACACACACACCCATACATTAATCTACATTTCCTAACACTGTAATTAAAAGTACATATTTCAAAATACCCTTTGTCAATAACTTTTTCATCTTTGTCCACTTGATAGGCTAAAATATAATGCTATTTTAATTTAGATTTTAAGCTTCTAATTAACATTGTATTACAAATCTTTGACTCAATATTAATGAGGGAAAAAGGCACTCATACTCTGCTGGTGGTAGGAAGATCGATAGTCACGTTCAGGGGCAATTTGATGGTATTTATTGGGCTTCCCTGATGCCTCAGTTGGTAAAGAATTCACCTGCAATGCAGGAGACCTGGGTTCGATCCATGGGTTGAGAAGATCCCCTAGTGTGGGGCATGGCAACCTACTCCAGTATTCTTGCCTGGAGAATCGCCATGGACAGAGGAGCCTGGCAGGCTGCAGTCCATGGGGTCGCAAAGAGTCAGACACAACTGAGTGACTAAGCACATCACATTAAAACATCACACAAATACACCCTGAATAATTCCACTCCTCAGGATCAGTCTTAGAAAAACTACTTGCATAAGTTCCCAAGGACATATACATACATTGCAAAATCGTTTGTCATTGAAACAAAACAAGAAGAGCCTATGTGGAATTTCAGTTGAGCTATTTCAAATCCTAAAAGATGATGCTGTGAAAGTGCTGCACTCAATATGGCAGGAAATTTGGAAAACTCAGCAGCGGCCACAGGACTGGAAAAGGTCAGTTTTCATTCCAATCCCAAAGAAAGGCAATCCCAAAGAATGCTCAAACTACTGCATGATTGCACTCATCTCACACACTAGTAAAGTAATGCTCAAAATTCTCCACCCCAGGCTTCAGCAATATGTGAACCATGAGCTTCCAGATGTTCAAGCTGGTTTTAGAAAAGGCAGAGGAACCAGAGATCAAATTGCCAACATCCACTGGATCATTGAAAAAGCAAGAGAGTTCCAGAAAAACATCTATTTCTGCTTTATTGACTATGCCAAAGCCTTTGACTGTGTGGATCACAATAAACTGTGGAAAATTCTGAAAGAGATGGGAATACCAGACCACCTGACCTGCCTCTTGAGAAACCTGTATGCAGGTCAGGAAGCAACAGTTAGAACTGGACATGGAACAACAGACTGGTTCCAAATAGGAAAAGGAGTACGTCAAGGCTGTATATTGTCACCCTGCTTATTTAACTTATATGCAGAGTACATCATGAGAAACGCTGGGCTGGAAGAAGCACAAGCTGGAATCAAGATTGCCGGGAGAAATATCAATAACCTCAGATATGCAGATGACACCACCCTTATGGCAGAAAGTGAAGAAGAACTAAAGAGCCTCTTGATGAAAGTGAAAGAGGAGAGTGAAAAAGTTGGCTTAAAGCTCAACATTCAGATAACTAAGATCATGGCATCCGGTCCCATCACTTCTTGGCAAATAGATGGGAAAACAGTGGAAACAGTGACTGACTTTATTTTGGGGAGCTCCAAAATCACTGCAGATGGTGACTGCAGCCATGAAATTAAAAGACACTTACTCCTTGGAAGGAAAGTTATGACCAACTTATTAACTTTAAAAAGTTAAAAAAGCAGAGACATTATTAAAAAGCAGAGACATTACTTTACCAACAAAGGTCCATCTAGTCAAGGCTATGGTTTTTCCAGTGGTCATGTATGGATGTGAGAGTTGGACTATAAAGAAAGCTGAGCACTGAAGAATTGATGTTTTGATCTGTGGTGTTGGAGAAGACTCTTGATCATCCCTCAGACTGCAAGGAAATCAAACCAGTCCATCCTAAAGGAGATCAGTCCTGGTGTTCATTGAAAGGACTGAGGCTGAAGCTGAAACTCCAATATTTTGGCCACCCGATGCGAAGAGCTGACTCATTTGAAAAGACCCTGATGCTGGGAAAGATTGAGGGCAGGAGAAGGGGATGACAGAGGATGAGATGGTTGGATGGCATCACCAACTCAATGGACATGGGTTTGGGTGGACTCTGAGAGTTGGTGATGGACAGAGAGGCCTGGCATGCTGCAGTTCATGGGGTTGCAAAGAGTCAGACAAGACTGAGCAACTGAACTGAACAGATGTGCCATTAACCAGGAAAAGTGAAAGCAAAAGAGAAAGTCGCTCAGTCATGTCCAACTCTGTGCAACGCCATGGACTATACAATACATGAAATTCTCCAGGCCAGAACAGTGGAGGGGGTAGCCAATTTCTTCTCCAAGTGATCTTCCCAACCCAGGGATTGAACCCAGGTCTCCCACATTGCAGGCAGATTCTTTACTCTCTGAGCCACCAGGGAAGCCCAATCAACCAGGGAATGGCTAAATAAATATAGTATATACATAACAAAAATATTATATAGCAATAAAAAAACAAAGAAGTAGTTTTAAAGACTGACCTCAAAAGATTTTAAATATATTTTTGAGTGAAACACAAAGGAAAAAATTATATGTAGTATATGATACTATTTTTACAAAAAGTAATATTATACATATTCCCAAATTACAGATACATTATAAAAATGCTCAGAATAAAAAAGACACCCAACATATTTAATATGGTTACATTTGGGGTAGACACTCAATTTGGTGGGAACATGTTCCAAAATGATTTCAACAGTCTTCATATTATATTTTAATCTGCTTCAAGAAGATTGTACTAATTTGGAACTATATATTAATTCATAAATAAACATTTCTAAAAACCAAATAGCTTTCTGAATATATAAGGTTCTACTCTAAAGATTATATGGTATTTTTTTTAATATCAAGATCAAGTACTTTATGTAATGAACAGACAAAAATGCTCATATGGCTATGTGTATATGAACTAATTAATCTGTAGCATAGGGAACTTAGAAATTATTAGCCAAATTTATAGTTAATTTGTTTAACTGGTACCTGACTTAGTTTTATTAGGTTAATTTCATAAATAATGCAATTAAGTTCCATATAGATCAGACAGTTCAGGTGAAAATTTTTATGTCTGTTTACTTGGGCAATTTTTACTGTTTAAACTGTTTAGAATCTAGAGGATCAGAGACCTGACTCACTGGTTTCAGTTATAACAAACTATTACATCAGAAATTTTTCCTGTTATCCTTTAGAGAAGTTAAGACCTAGAAACTTCCCACAACATATTGATGAAGAAGGCAGGTAAGTCATACATAACTGAATTGTTATATTTTAGCCAACCTAATAATTTCTTTCCCTTCATTTTAATAAATATTAACTATTGTTAACTATCATGTTTCCTTATAAATATGATCATCTGCAATGAAAGCATTAATTTGTGAAGAAGCATATGTAAAAATTTTTGGCTAATAGTTAAAAGTATTTTTAACAGGATATTATCCTAAAAACATTATCTACTTCATTTCCTAGTTTTGCAATTCAGGAAAATTATTGAGGGTGGGAATGGCATTTGATAAGAAGAAGACACTTAAACTTAAAATATTCTGAAACTAGGAGACATTTACAGTGAATTTTTGACAAATACATTATTTTTCCTTCACAAAGTGAATTTCTTTATACCTTCTTAATGAAATAAATGAAACTTTAATCATTTCCCATTTTATGATAGCTAACAAATGTACAACTTTATTGCTTCCCCAGGAAAGATTTAATGGTGGTACATGTCTTTCCTCCCATCTTCTTTTTGGCTAGAAATCTTAGAATGAGGACTGTCTTCAACGGTGCTTTTATCTTATTCTGCCTCTTAGGTGGTAAGTCATTAAGAACACATAAATCAAAAAGAGGAAAAATTACTCAAGAAATTGCAGAATTATAAGTGGAGGGTGGTCTTAAAGTATTGAAGGTGTTTATAGCAAAGCTTATGTAAACCCTTAATAATAAGAAAGTGAAAGTCACTCAGTCGTGTCCTACTCTTTGCGACCCCCTGGACGGTAATACAGTCCATGGAATTCTCCAGGCCAGAATACTGAAGTGTGGGTAGCCTTTCCCTTCTCCAGGGGATCTTCCCAACCCAGGGATCGAACCTGGAGCTAACATTTATTCATCACTTCCTATATGCCAGGTACTGGTCTAAATATTTGTATTAGTGCACTGAATCCGTGCCACAATCCTAAGAGTTAAGTGCTATTATTTCTCATTTTATATATGAGTACACTGAGGTGGTAGATGGTGGCCCAGAAGTTGCTATTACTATCGTTAAGCTGGAACTAACCAAACTAGGCAGGAAGCCTTTATAAATATGGCCCATGTTAAACAAACCAGGTCTAGCTGCTGGACCACTCATTTGTAGCCTCTGCTTCCCACACTGCCCTCATTACTAAATACAATTCACAATAGAGTTCTGATTATTTCTTGCAGAGTATAGGACCAAACTCAAACTGCTAGGGTCTCTGCTGTATTTGAAGTCTTCATATTCCTCTTCTGTAAAGAATGTGTAGGGGGACACTGGAATAGGTGAAAACTTTCAAGAGAATAGCTTTCCTGTCTTTCGGTTATCATGAAAAAAATTATTCAGGCAAAATTATTCATCCAAATCTTGTTGGATACATAGAAAAGATGTGAGGGTTAAAGAAGAGGATTCAGCATAGAGAGAAATTATGAAGTAAGGAGTGCCCATGAAGCAAGGATGGTTATTTTAAAAAGGTCACCATCACTGTGATTTATAATGTTTAGGAAATTATATATATATTTTTAATATGCAATTGAATAATTAAATATAGCCTGTTAGGTTTTCCCCACAATAAGGTCATAAAGTAGCATACTTCAGAATTAATCATGTGAGGAAACTACTAATTTAATATAAAGCCTGAAACTTTGAATTTACTTGTCAAATTGGAATATATCATATGTGGTTATATTAATAAAACCAACAATACATTTTCAGACAAAAAGAGACTAGAAGAAAGGGTATGGGACCTATAAATATATTGATAAGTAGTCATGTGATGGAACAAGCACAGTCAACAAAAAGCCTAAAAGTTAAGGCATTGTCTTCAGTTACAGTAAAGAATATCAGGGCCAAATTTTTAGGAAGAGGGCTATCAATGTCGGGTGTGGAATCAGAAGGAAGGAGAGAGAGAAAGAAACTAGAACAGATCTCATCCAGGAAAACAGTCCAGGAGCCTTAGGCGTGACGGAGAAAGATCCAGCATCATGCAAGCTCCCCAGCATGCGGCGCCACTGAGTCTTGCAGTGGATCTCTAAGGACAAGTTGTGATTTGAGAACTCATGAGTTCAGGAGGAAAATTCACTTGGGCATGACTTGAAGAAGCAAGCAGCTCTAGTACTCTGGGCAGGTAACTGATCTTGAATCTTGGAAGACTCAAAATCTCCAGCAAGAAGGGTGACATCAGAAGGTTTGGGATACACAAAGGTAGCCAGCTTCAGTGACATGGAGTATTTGCTCAAAACAAGGGGTTTGGATTCAAATAGACCTTTTCTAACTCCTGTCTCTGCCTCTGGAGTGAACTACTTAAAATTTTATGACCTCAGTTTCCTTTTGTGTGAAATGTAGAAAACTATACCTGCCTGAAAGGTTAGTTGTGGGAAATGACTGGGCTAATGCATGTAAATCGCTTAACAGGCTTCTTGGAAGAAACTAAGTTCTTGAAAAAATATTTGTTGGTTGATTAATGATTATAGATTGAAAGTTTGTCATGCTTAGGGAGAGTACCAATGTGAACCAAATAAACCAAAATGTCTTGAGAAGAGTTTGAAACTGGAGAGAGTGGTCAACAGAGGTTAATTAGCCTCATGAGCCAGACTAATTTCTATTAAAAATGATCTCTTCCAACTCCCAATATGTCAGAAATATAAAATACACTGCACAGGACTACCCCAGTGCTCCAGCGGTAAGACTCCAAGCTCCCAAAGCAGGGGGCTCAGGTTCCATCCCTGGAAACTAGGTCCTACATGCTGCAACTAGAGTTTGCATGGCACAACTAAATATCCCACATACTACAAGGAAGATTGAAGGCTCCACATGCTGCAGCTAAAACCTGGCGCACTAAATAAATAAATATTTTTTAAAGATTATTTTAAAAATATTTTGCACAAAATATTTCATATATGTTTCTTTGTAGTTAATCAGTGAATAGGAGTGGAATGGCAATGGTTTTCATATGTTAAAAGATTGAAACAATGAACATAAGACAAATTTTAGTTCAATTTCTAAAGAATCCTTTAACAATCTGAGCCTTTTTTTAATGATAATGAGCTCTCCATCATGAGCCAAGGCTTCCTGCAGGGGTTATTACAAAGGAGACTCCTGAATTCAGTAGAACCAGTGCTTCTCAAAAACTGGTCCAGACATCTTCATTCAAATCACAAGTCCTCCACTGTTTCTGGGCATCTAAAATACAGATTCCTGGGCCCCACCTCCTATAGATTCTAACTTAGGTGCTGTGGAGGCTGTGGAAATCTGCGTTCATTTTAATTGCCTAAGTAAATCTGATGCATAGATTTGAAAAGGGATCTTCCTTTCAAATTTCAGTTAATGTCTTCCAATCTCACCTATGTTGATTAAGTTCAAGAGTCTCTGGGCTACTTCTACATAACCAAAATAAATAACTCTTTTAAGCCAAAATAAAATGAACACAGATTTTCACAGCCTCCACAGAACCTGAGTTAGAATCTACCAATGTGCAAACAGGGCTTCCTTTATGGCTCAACAGTACAGAAGCTGCCTACAGTGCAGGAGACATGGGTTCGATCCCTGGGTCAGGAAGATCCCCTGGAGAAGGAAACAGCAACCCACTCCAAAATTCTTGCCTGGGAAATCCCATGAACAGAAGAGCCTGGCAGGCTACAGTCAATGAGGTTGAAAAACAGTTTGATACAACTTAGCGACTAAACAACAATACCTAAACATTAAGCGATAAATGCTCACAGAGAACCCACTACATGTAATATATACTGCCTTAGACATTGAAACAAAGGCCTAACAGTAAATATACGGCTGAAATTAAATATTCTGGCTAAATAACTTTGGTTTAATTTAATTAGGCTCTGAGTTCCTGAATTTATTTTAACCAACTAAGTTGTTTAGCCCACCTGGCTTCATTTTTAATTAGTTCAGAGTGCTTCCACTTCTTTAATGTTGCATATGTTATAAAATTCACCCCATTAAATTCCCAAAATAAAATATTTTAAATTTATATGAGTTTTTAGAATCAATTTATAAAATATTGTTCATTTTTTAAAATTGAAAATCACTACTTTATTTTTGGATTATTCTTTTCTCTGTCTTTTTTTCCCTCTCTGATGTCTATTTTCCCCTTATTTTTCCCTATCCTGTACTTGAGCTGTTGGAGGTGTGATTTGTAGACAATGCAACCTCTCAATCCCCTTTCATGGATGTCTTTTGGACTTTGGAACCTGCAGAACAAAACCTGGACAGTACTGTATAAAAGAGATCCTTATTAAAGGTAAGTCATGCCACTTTAAAAATCTTTTATTAAAATGAGCACAGGAAAACTTACATAAGAGCAAAGATTGAATGAGCACTTACTGCTTGTTAGATTCTTTACTAAGGGCTTTACCTGCATTACATCACATCAATAAAACAATGATTTGAGCTGGCTCTTGTCACTATTCCCAATTTAAGGATGAGAAGTCTGAGGAGAAATTTACATGATGTTACACGGTTAAGCAGTGCTGGCTAATTCAAATGTGAGTGTTTAACTACAGAGCATGCATTCCTAAAGAAATCTATATCCTGCCTCATTCACATCATTCACATCCTCACAAAAAATTAATACATAATTTCCTTCTAAGTGTAGGGCTCCGTGCAGTCACATAGGTTTCATGTCCAGAAACCCAGCCTTGTCCACATGAATTAAAGAAACAAAAATCCAAATGATGAAAATTTTAGAAGAAAATATTGGAGGACATATTTTAAACCTAAAAGAAAGGAGGCCTCCTTAACATCCAAAAGGCAAGATTATAAAGGAAATAATAGATAAATTTGAATATATCAATATTTTAAAATTTATGAAATGAATGGCAACCCCAGAATTAAAAAGATGAGGGATAAACTGAATGAAAATAGTCAGAAATAAATAACAGAAAAAATATTAATATCTTCCCAGAATAAATAACTTCCAAAAAACTAAGTTTAAAGATGAGGGATAAACTGAGTGAAAATAATTGGAAACAAATAACAGAAAAACTATTAATACCTTCCCAGAATAAATAACTTCTAAAAAACTAAGTTTTTTAAAGACCAACAATCAAAAAGAAACAAAATTGTTAAAGGAGATGTAAAGGTAATTTTCAGAAGAGGAGATATAAATGACTTAACCTAAAAACATGAAAAACTGCTCAACCTCAAAGTAAATATCAAAGAAATTCAAATTACAAAAATATTTTTAACCCATAAGATCGCTAAAAATTACAAGAGTTTTGTAATAGCAAGTGTTAGTGACTATATAGGAAAATGGGAACTCATACATTTTCTAATGACAGTTTAGATTGGTTTGGCTTTTTTAAGACAATTTGTGAATTTCAGTTAAAATTTTAAATGAGCTCAATTTTCTACAAAGCAATTCATTTCTTGGAAGCTACTGCAGAGAAATACATGTAACACAAAAAAGCATGTATCAAGGTTATTGCAACATTATGTTTGATAGGACAGTAACGGAAAGGATCTAAATGTCTATAGGTAACTGTTAAACTATGATATATTCAGTTCATGGATTGCTATGCAATACTTAGAATGAACAGATCACTCTGTTAACATGAAAAAATATTTTTTAAATTGTTGGGCAGAAAAAAAGTCATGGACAAAACAGTATGTGTAGTATACCACTTATGTATAAAAATCCACAAAGCAAAACTCTAAAATTCTCTATGAAAATGGAAGAGGAGAAAAAAATGAGAGGAAATCAAAGTCAGTTGAGAGAGAGGAAGAGAATCTGGGGTCATGTCTGCTGGGGTGCTGGTTTTAATAGGGTTACTTGAGCTTTGTTCAACCGATGTAACCTTCATCCCCTCTCCGAATCCCAAGTTCCCTGACTCGCACCTGTGCCAGTCAAGAGCCCCTTCCTTACCAAAGAGGAAAGGGGCCAAGCCCCTCCACCCCCCCAGAGCCATGAAATAGTAGCTTTCAGTGACTGCTCTTATCTGCCTGAATGTGTGCAGGCAGACCTCTAGTAAGCTTGTCATAAAAACTCTGCACATAAAAGCCTGGCAGCTTATACAGCAAAATCTTGACAATATATTATCTCTTGGTTGGGTCAAGGACCTAGAATAATTACAGTGTTGTAGGAAGAACAGTTTTCTAACATGGAAAGTCTGCCATTTCACGCTGACACAAAACAAATACAATTGGAACTTAGGCTTTTGATGGTTTTATCAACAGTTTGTCAACACTATTGACACTTTGACAGGATAATTCTTTGTTATATAGGGCTATTTTGTGTATTCTAGGATGGTTAGCACATCTCTGGCTTATACTCACTTCATCCCAGTAATATCTTCTAAGTTGTAATAATAAAAATGTTTCTGGGGACTTCCCTGGCAGTCTAGTGGTTAAGACTTTGCCTTCCAATGCAGAGGGTGTGGGTTTGATCTCTTACTGGGGTAAGCCATGCGGTGCAGCCAAAAAAAATTTTTTAATGAGAAAGATATTCTGTTAGAAGAATGAAAAGTCAAAAACTGGAAGAATATCTGATAAAGGATTCATTTTCAAAATATATATAAGTCATTCTTATAATTCAATAATAAAAAATGGTTCTGGGCATTATCTAATGTCCTGAGGTTGGGGAACAAAATTACTCCCAATTGAAAAAGACTGCTGTTTTCTCAAATTTCCAAACAGTCTTATGTTTTGCTGCCTTTATAGAAATGTTCTTGGTATTCTCCCCCATACAACTGGGGGAGTTACTAGACAGTATTGTCACTTACTTTGTACTTCTGTGTATTTTCCACATTTTCTACAGTGAACATGTACGTATAATTGGGAAATTAAATGAGGTCAAGGACATGCCTCCATTCCTAAGAAGCACTTATACATTTAAACAACTCTGTGGATTCAGCCCTTTGAATAGCTCATGACCTGGGTAAAACTGAGGGATGATTATTAGGAAGTCGCCAAACAGCTAACATTTCAGAAACTTCTACATAGTGAAAGGCAATTGCATAGCTTTTGTCAACTGAGTCTGAAAGCTATTTTGTTTTACAATTTCAAAGCTTTGTATTGTAATGTACCCAACTAGAATAACTTTAGGTGGGAGTTCTTAAAAGGCAAGATGATTGTATTCTCATGGATCTAGAGCTTTCACTTTGTTTTCCTTTGTTCTTGGTTTTGTTTTTTTTTAACTGAAGTATAGTTGCTTTACAATGTTGTGTTAGTTTCTCCTGGACAGCAAAGTGAATCAGATATACATATATATAGATATAGATATATAGGTATAGATATATAGATATAGATCCCTTCTTTTTAAAATATCATTCCAATGTAGGTCATCATGGACACTGAGTATAGAGTTCCCTGTGCTGTACAGTCAGTTCTCAGTTATCTATTTGATACACAGCAGTGTATATATGTTATAAAAAGGAAGGAAATAGTGCTGTTTGCTGAGATGTAGATAGACCTAGACACTGTCGTACAGAGTGAAGTCAGAAAGAGAAAAACAAATATCGTATAATATCGCTTATATGTGGCATCTAGAAAAATGGTACAGATGAACCTTTTTTTCCTTTTTTTGACCTGTTAGTTATCTGAAGCATCTGAAGCCAGGTCAGTTGCACCCTCTAAGGGATTCTTCTATCATGATCTCTTGTTTCCCCCAGGTGGAATTCAATGGTATTCAATTAAAGGCTGCACTGAAAGCCAAGACCAGTGTTTTCAGAGAATCCTGACATCTCATCAAATCTACTCTACTCACTGCTGCCATCGTCCTTTGTGCAATTTCTGAGCCAGGGGCCCATATCTAGATTGGTTCACTGATCAGTCAATCTCAAAGCCTGAACCAGTCATCCCAAGATGGCAAGTACCATCAATCAGCCCTCTGCAAAAGCCTGACCTGCAGGTTGTAGGAGTTATGGTCTGAAACCAAGGCTTTTAATGAGCCCAACTTCTCAGCCACCACATCCATCTCATCTCAGAAACATCTGTTCCTATACCATTTTCTCCTCTCTCCTCTTTCTGTTTATTTCCCCTTCCAGTGATTTCAAAGCCAAAGAGCAAAAATGTGAGTGACTCTCTGAGTCAAATTATGCATGTGATATCTACTTTACTAATTTTCCTAAATATTTCCATACTCCAAAAAACAGTTACGAATGAGATGTATCACAAGATACCAAGTGACTTGGAAGTGTTCATTTGGTTTCCAAAGCAAACTGCCATGCTCTTTCAGGTCAATTTATTGCACAAGGGAAACTGATTTAACAAATACTGCAGGAAAAATAAGCCGGGAATCAGTAAACCAGGGGTAAGAACTATGAACCTAAATGGCAAATGTCTCAGGCAGGTGCAAGGGTTGGTACTTATTTTTCTCATCTGGTTAAAATTTGTCAAAATATTGGATTTCCATACTTCAAACACACATTAATGCTTTAGCTAATCTAATTTTGGCAGATTAAGCAAGTGAACTGAAGCAGGGAAATGGGTTTCCCTGCACAAGAAATTTTGAAGGTTTATAAATATACTTTGAGCTGCAATTTGCATTTTTTAATGTGCCACATATTCAATTATTCTCATTCAATGCTCTACTTTTGCAATTTCAAGATTATTGTGTTTTAAAATTTAAAGTTATTTTTCTCTGTATTTCCAGGAGTTTGAGAAATTTAAATGGTAAATAATAAATCTCAATAAAACCATTTGCTATTTTTTTTTCTCAGAACTTAGGGCAACATCTTATACACAGTGGGCCTTCAACAAATGCTTTTCTATAAACTTTGAAGTAAAAAAAGGATAGGTGGGAGGGGGGTTCAGGATGGGGAACACATGTAAATCCATGGCTGATTCATGTCAATGTATGGCAAAAACCACTACAATATTGTAAAGTAATTAGCCTCCAACTAATAAAAATAAATGNCTAGGGAACAGGTACAATAGATTGAGCATAATTCTTAAGGACCCTAGGGTTTTCAAATTGGTAAATAAGCATTAGCTTCAACTTCAAGTCACCAGCTACATCAGCCCCTAACAAGAGTCAGCCTGTCCTTTGAAGCTTTGAAGCTAGGCATTAACTTCTCCTGTCTAGCTATGAAAAAAGTCCTAGATGGCATCATCTTTCAATACAAGGTTGTTTCATCTACACTGAAAATCTGTTTTGTTTTGTTTGTAGTCACCTTCATTAATTATCCTAGCTAGATCTGGATAACTTGCTGCCACTTGTACATCAGCACTTGCTGCTTCATCTTGCACATCTCTGTCATAGAGATGGCTTCTTAAACCTCATAGACCAACCTCTGCCAGCTCCGAACTATCCTGCAGCTTCCTCACCTCTCTCATCCTTCACAAAATTGAAGAGTTAGGGCCTTGCTCTGGATTAGACTTTGGCTTAAGGGAATATTATGGCTGGTTTGCTCTTTTCTTCAGATCACTAAAACTTTTTTCTATAACAACATTAAGGCTATTTCACTTTCTTATCGTTCATGCATTCACTGGACTAGCACTTTTAATTTGCTTCAAGAAATTTGCATTCACAACCTGTCTAACTGTTTGATGCAAGACACCTAGCTTTCAGCCTCTTGGCTTGTATTCCTCACTAAACTTAATCATCTCTAGCATTTGATCCAAAGTACAGACATGTGACTTCCCCTTCACTTGAACACTTAGAGGCCAGTCTAGAGTTTATTTTTTTTTAGTATTTTATGATTTGTTATTATTAATTTATTTATTTGGCTGTGTCGGGTCTTAGTTGTGGTGTTCAGACTTTTTTAGTTGTAGCACTTGAGATTAGTTGCCCTGTGACATGTGGGATCTTAGTTCCCTGACCAGGAATTGAACCTGTGTTCCCTGCATTGAAAGGCTGATTCTTAACCACTGGACCACCAGGGAAGTCCCTATAGAGTTATTAGTTGGCCTAATTTTAAGATTTTTGTGTCTAATGGAATACAGAGGCCTGAGGAATTGGAGAGAGTTGAAGGAATAGCCATTCAATGGAGAAGTCAAAATACACACACCTATCAGTTAAGTTCACCCATCTTAAATGGGTATGATTCATGACACCTAAAATAATTACAACAGTAACATCAAAGATCACTGATCACAGAGCACCAAAACAAATATAAAAGTGGTGAAAATGTTTGAAATATTGCAATAATTGCCAAAATGTGACACAGAGACATAAAGTCAGCAAATGCTGTTAAAAGGAATAAAGTAGCAACAATAGATGCTCAATACAGAGTTATCACAAATCTTCAACTTATAAAAAATGCAATACTCTGAACTACAATAAAGAAAAGCACAATCAAACAAGGCATACTTATACACAACTCAACATTAACTAACACCTCTTTGCTCTTGTTTTCTTACTAAAAATAAGACTTGGTGCTGAATACAGGCCATGAGATAGGCTCTAAATATATGACCAATACTCTCTTGGCTTTATATTATCCATGAAGTTGAAGGAGAAATGCAAACCATGAGAGCACTGACCATTGTTGAGGCAGTTTAGCTGCGTGTCAATTTGACCCAAAAATAACCATGGGAACAAAAATAACTTTCCTATCCTTGAATTGGTACATTGAGTAATGACTTCAAAGAAGCCCATGTTCTAATCCCTGGAAACTATGGATATTTTACTTTATGGGGCAAAAGTGACTTTGCTCATGTGCTCATAGATTTTGAAATAAGGAGATCATCTTGTATTAACTGGGTGGCCCCCAATATTGTAATCACAAGGGTCTTTGTTAAGGAAGCAGGAAGGTCAGAGTCAGAGAAGATGTGATGGTGGAAGCAGAGTCAGAGAGATTTGAATATGCTTTGCTGCTGTCTTTGAAGATGGATGAGAGGGGTTTCAAGCCAAGGGATGTGGGTGACCTCTAGAAGCTGGAAAAGTCAAGGACATAGCGTCTTCTAGAGCCTCAGAAGAAACGCAGCCCTGTGGATATATTTTAGACTTGTGACTTCTGAAATGGTAAAATAATGTGTGTTCTTGTTAAAGCAGTCATGGGAAACACATTCGATTGTGTGAGGAGTGCTGTGGCATTTCCCTTCTCCCAAGGTCAGCACACCCAATACTTGGTTTACATGGGGTCTGATTTCAAGAGCAGCATCCTGCGTCATATTGTCTTCCTTTCATTCTAATGATTTCTCAGTGATAATTTCCCTCGAAACACACAGATGGCCTAGAACCATGCAGTCGCTTTTTTCATTCTACACCTCCCACTCAAGCCCCTATCCATTCAAGATTTCTTCAGCTAACAAATTTATTTCTTTCCTATCACCCACACCTAAAAACAAAGTAATACGAGATTAGCCTGATTTTAATCTATTTATAAGACATTAGACTGAAGTGCTAATAAATCTATAGACTTCCCTTGGTCCTCTGAATCCCAGGATGGCTTCCTTGCTGATTACATTTTCTTTCTGTAGCTGAAATAGAAACCTCAGCAGTTAATACCTCTTAATTCACTTAAAGGAAAACTCTGCATTAGATAAATTGGGGGCATCTGGAGGATGTGGCAGAGAAGAGATGGAACATGATTATATTAGCAAAGGAGGGATAATAACGTTGCTGGCACTGCTACAAGGTCTTCTGAAGTTCTAGAGAGCACACATTTTATTATTTTATTTACTCATTATTAAAAGCACAACTTTTATAATCAACATGGCCATTGCTGTTTTCCCCACTCTACAGATGAGGAGTCTGAGACCCCCTCATAGCTGACAGGTGGCAGAGGGGGACCTTCCTGTGATGTCCATATGACCTTCACCCCCTCCACAAATGCCAGCCCTGGGGAGAAGCATATAGGTGGACAATAAATTGAGCCTCTGGGAGAATATGACCCTGACTCCTTAGCATATGCTGCAGTTCTCTGAGGAGAAGGAAATGGCAACCCACTCCAGTATTCTTTCCAAGAGAATCCCATGGACAGAGGAGCCTGGTGGGCTGCCGTCTATGGGGTCGTGCAGAGTCAGAGACGACTGAAGCGACTTAGCAGCAGCAGCAGCAGGTCTCTGAGAAATGTGACTTAAAGTCTTTGAAGGAAGTACAGAAGCAAAGACAGGTATTAACATCAATGGTGTGGTTGATGATCAAACTCTGAGCTCCATAAGCAACTCGGTCTGACTAGGGCTTTGGATAGGAAGAAATATTCAGTTCTATAATGATGGAGCAAAATCTGAAGTGCTGAGTATTATAAGCTACATAAACAGGAGCCCTCACTAAAATTTTTATTTTCTGCAGTGAAGAACTTCATGTGCTAATATATTTATGACTAAAACTCCAGGCTGATGCATTAATAAAATGTCAGAGGCATGGTAAAATACTTGGGGTCGTTATAGCACTGTCTACAGTAGCTCACATTCTCTCTCCCAGTGGCAGACCCATACGGCTGCAAATTCTACAAGTGAAGGCATTAGAGGTGTCTGACCTGATGGACACACTTCTCCTATTTGCATATTTCCTTGATCTTTGCATCTTACCACCAGGAAGCAATTCTTCAAACTTTTCTGGCTGAACCTCAAATCCTCATGCTTCAAATAGCAGAACAAATACAGAAAGGCAGTTCCATAATCTGTCCTTCCCATACTTCTTGGTGTGAGTATATCCTATGCCTTCCCATCCCCACACTTACTGAATATAGTTAATAGAGAGTTGCCATCAGAAATGACTGTGTAGAGTGGATCTCCCAGCAGCGTTGTAACTATGCATTTTGGTGCCAGGGCAAGCATTAAAACATGCCCTCAAATTAATTTTGCAATTCATATCTTGGCTCACATATGGGTATTATTGATAATACTTGCCATCTGATAGTTTCCTGTTTTAGCTAATTATTCCTGCTAACTAGGTGTTAAACTTAGTGACACTACATGCCTGTGTTGTTGAATTAATTGCATAATCATTTAAAAATTAACACACTAAAATTCAGAACCTTAGGACAAAAGTGGAGTGCCAGGTCAAGTCACAGATCTAGTTACAGACAAGGAAGAGAGAGAAAGGAGATGTAATAAATAAGGGTAGAAATTTGAAACACATAGAATTCATTCATCTGATAAACATTCATTGAGCAGTTCCTAACATGTCAGGTATGATGCAAGTCACAAAGATCCAAGAGAGAATAATCTTGATGTTCATGCAGTTACTCCTGGTGCAAGTGAAGAGACCGCAAAAATTGGCATTTGTAATATAATGAGTCTGTCATATTAATAAATACAGGCTGATATGTAGGGTTCCAAAGAGAGGTACCTACTCCAGTGTTGGTCACAAAAGACTCAAAGGAGGTATGACTACGCTAAAATCTGAAAGATAGGAATCAGTCAAAAGAGCTGGGAGGTTGGAGGGAAAACATTCTCTGAAGGTTAATTTTATGTGTCAAGTTATCTAGGCCACACTCTCCAGATCTGGTCAATTATGATTATAGGTGTTTCTGTGAAGGTATTTTTTTAGGCGGAACTAATATTT